TTGCTTTCCTTCCTCTCTTCCCCAATACCTTTCTTTCATTTACAAAGTATAATAACTAGGTGCTTCTATTTGCCAGTTTCTGTTTGGTAACCCTCTTCTCTCATGAGAAGGGCCACAAAACAACCTCCTACATGCAACAAGGCATTTAAGGAGCATGTTTCCGGCGTATCTGGATTTCATTCATTACTGATGATGGCCTCTATAAGCGGTTTGTAGACCCCACCAGTTGATAAGTGAAGCACCTCTTATGGCCTGCAGCTCCTTGTCCATGTAGCCCAGTGGTTTTTGGGATGTAAATGTCATTATCTGTCCTTGTCTGTGTAGGACTGCATGTGCAGACTGCACATGTGTGACTATAAACACACAAATGATGCAATCACTATTTTTCTTCATTATTAAATTATTTATCAAATTAGTCATTTTGTAAAATGAACTCTTAGCTTTGTTTTTGTAACCTTGAGGACATTGTATAGACTTACAATACTTTCTTAAGTTTACATGAATCTCCCATCAAAGCCTCTAAATGCCACCCCCCAACCTTTACCCTAGCCCTCACCAAAAAACTGGATATACAGTATTTTTCTCTCTCTCCCACAAGACAGCCAGCACAGTTTGACACCTCCTCCTGTCCTGGAACACAGAGATCAAGACGCAGAGGACAGGAAGCAGAAATAGTCAGACGGCAAACAGACAACACCCAGGAGAAACAGTCAGACTCTGAGCTGCAGACAACTTCGCCTTCTCTCGGCATCACCATAATTATCGCCTCTGTCTCAGCTCTGGCACACTGTCATCATGTTAACATGCTGCACTGTACATTAATCAGTGGGCCACGATGGCTGCCACGCAAGCACATAACACACAGACAGACACGCACAACGGCTTCATAAACACAAACGTGCAGATGAAGACGCACACACAGTAGACTGTGTATAATTTCCCCTTCCCGCTGCTCTAAAATGGTAATGAGCTTTAATGGGGCTGAGTTAATGAACAGGAGAGAAGCAAAGTTTTTGGGGTTGAAAGAGGCACTTGAGGATGTAAGAGTAGCATCACATGGCTCATTATCAGGACTGCATCTGTAAAATATCAGCCCTCCATGAGTCATAGCTGTCACTCCAAAACACCACAGTAATTGCATTTGTAAAGCCAGCCCAGTGAAGGTAGAAACTAATTTTTGCAGGGGACCTGATGGTAAAACTAGTTACAGATGTGTTGATACGTTTGTTGGTTTGGTGCTTTCTTGCACTACTAAAAAAAAGTCCAAATCAATTTAAATCTTAAAACAACATTTAGTCAGAAAACCATAAATCTTGAGCTTCGGTCTGACAGAACTATCATTAGATTCCAAATGCTCAGCTGTTGTTGTGCTAAAGCTTTTTAATTAGATGTGTGTGTCACAGAACACAATGTTATGTCACAGTGTCACATATCTAATATTCACTGCATTCCTTATGTACTTGCCAGTAGCAAGAGTGCAGCAGCTTTCTCTGCCTTCACTTGTAGTAGTTCAGTGGTTGCCTTACTTGCATTCGGCTGTAAACACCACAGCTCCTGAATTTGTCCTAAACTGAATGTAGGCTCTTTTTTTCTAAAGATTTGGAGACAGTTTTTGTGGATAAATAAACAAATGTGAGGGGTTGGTTGGGATGTAGTTTTCAAATATTTTCTGAAATCATGTGTCAATCTTGTTTGTGTGCCTGCAGAGTGTCGTATGATGAAGTCCGTGGCCTATGGGAAGATGTCTGGCTCTTTGAACCGAGGCTCCCCCAGGACTATTGTCCACTCACGACACAGCAAGTCCCCTGTATCTGGTATGACAGTAAACTTTCCTTCTTTACCTTGTCTCCTCTTTCTTTCATGGAACCATGTGTATCTTTGCATCTGTGTTTGTGCATGAAGAGTGTGTGCAGCATTCCTGACTTGATGGACATCACAGCAAATGGAAACGGCGAGATTAATCATTGCAGTGGGATCAGAGCTCTGCAGAGTGTCTGGCAGCGTTATCCCTATGTGTGTGTGTGCGCACGTGTGAGCTATGTTTCGTTGCATGCAGAATATGAAATCCAATGATAATGGATTCACAAGGGACTGGAGAAAAAGGCAAACATATGAGAGAGGAAAAAAGGGGGGGAGTGAAGATGAGAGGAAAGGGGGTTGGTGACTCAATCCTGCAGCTCTCAACGAGCTGTTCTTCACCTGGCATACTAATAAAATGGTGTGAGCTTGTTATGGTACCTGCTGCATTGTACAAAATGTGCTAACACATAGCACACACAGCCAAATGCAACTTTGTGTGTGGAAAACATTGACTCTGACTCAAAACTGGTAGGACTTGGTGATTTGTTTTAAGCCATAACAAATGTCAAGTTGTTCCATTCCTGATTGCACAGCTTGAGCGTTGACTGAGTGTAAAACGCCTAGTTACACAACAGCGCACCTGAGTTTTCATCCTCGTTGATATAATTTTATGATTTGAGTGCACAGAGACCTATCAGGCTGGGGATGATGTAACATACAGAAACTCCACAGAAAGATGCCAATCTAAAATGTTACTGAAGCACATAAGCGTGCACAGACAAACCGGTTTTGTGATATCTCCAAAAAGCTATGTAATGCTGCAGAATGAAAACCAAGAGTTGTTAATATGTTATGTGTTTAGCTATGAATGAAAATGTGAGGCAGAGAAAAAGCAAAAGAAAGACTGAAACAGTGGTAGCTGTGGAAGAGAAAGTTCTGGATGCTGATGGCTTAAACTTTGGGGAAAAGGTTATGAGTGTGAGTCATTCGCTATTTGGTCTCAGCTGAAGCACATCAGGGATGAAGGTGTGTGCTAATGTGTGTCTGTGAAGAGGGAGCGCGAAAACAAGAGGCTGAGACAGAAGGAGGAAAGACTCGTCTTGGTTGCCATAGAAACATAGCACAATAGGAGCATGTACTGTAGCTACAGACACAATAGCCTGTGACAACCATATATGGCAGTGACTTCCTGTGAAATGGCCTGCAGCGGAGAAATGAGCTGACTGACACTCAGTCCTTGTCGGAGCCCTGAGTCACTGTCCCGGTGTTTCTTTGGAGAAATATTCCTCCTCTGTCACTGCTTCCGCCGCTTAGCATCATTAGATGTTTCCGGACTGCTGTGGGTTGTTTTGTATCACACTGTATTCGTTCCTTAAAACATCCCTTTCTAGTGAAGTGACAGGAGGTAATGAAAAACAAGTGATTGGTCCCCTGTTTTTGTTTTTGTCTCTAAAAGTACACCATGTCCCCTTCTCTTGAGGACACAAAACCTGGTCCTGTACCACATACAGAGATGACTGTTCATGTATTCACAATAAGGCCTTACTGGCATCACCAGTAAGGAAAATAGAAGATAGAAATAAAAGCAGGTTATCTCACCTAAGCATTAGATGGGAAAGAAATTATAGGATGACTGTAACAATTTATGATTTCTCTAATATTTGAGAAACCATATAATAACTGTGTTTTTTCAGTGCTATGAGAAGCATTTCCTGAACAATAACTACCAACATTTTGAACACTGATTGACAGTTTATTAAGCACAAATGCAGAACATTGATTGTTTTATTTTTTTAAAAGTGATAATTTGCTGCTTTTCTATGTTTTAGATCCTTGTAAATTGAATATGTTCAGGGTTCAGTTTGACTGACAAAACTAACAATTTAAAGATTGTCGCCTTTGGATCTTGGAAATTTTGATGTACTACTGTTTTCTAATTTTTTATAGACTAATCACTGAATCAGTTCATCAAAAAACAGTGAATAGATTTTCACACATCTTTCAAGTAATGAAAGATGATTGCGAGTTACAACCCTAATTCAAACTAAACATTTAAAAACAGAACAAAAACAATCATTTGTGATTCCATCTCACATCAGTAACATATTGTTTTGACATACGGATTCAACAAGTGATTTTAACTGAAAACATTTTACTGATTATTACCCTTGATATTTTTGATGATGTCCTCTAGTGTGTATAACCTCATGTCGTTGCCTTCCGTGCCAGTGGTGGAAGTAACTAAATACATTTACTCAAGTACTGTACAATTTTGAGGTATCTGTACTTGAGTATTTTCATTTTCTGTTATTTTCTGAAATTACAGAAACAGGAAGTGTCTTCCATATAAATATGGTCCAATTTGGCAGCACTCAGCAGCCAACATATTGTAACATATGTTACAAAAATAAACATATTCACCTAAATAATGACACTTCAGTCTAACCTCTAGCTAAAATAATACAGTTTGAATTGGTATTAGCTGTGTTAAATATAAAAATCTAATGTCAAGGTCCATTAATTCTTTATTAAAGGTTTAAGGTATTCCAAGGTATTTAGATGAAAGTTAATCAATTATTCAAATGTTATTGCTACATCTGGCTCTTATTTAGTTGCAGCTACACTCAAAACCATTTTATCTGAGATATTAGTGATGACATTAAAAGTATGGATACCAGACAAGTAAGCTCTGTCTAGTTATTGATGTTTAGAAAGCAGCACTAAAAGATTTTTATTATTTCTCACCCACACTTGGAGAAAACACAATAAAAAAAACTCTATTAGTTTTAAAGCTCACTGCAGGTCTTCAGGTATTCTGAAAACAGCCTGAAAATCCCATCTTCATTTTCCATTCAGCCAACATAGGCATTAATAAAAATTCTTTATCACATCTGATGATCTAGACTGAAGGAGCTGCACAGAGAAGATGTGATGTGTGAATTCTGTCTGACAGCAAGAGAGAGACGGGGAGAGTGAAATCATATGACACCACACGTGTGCCGTCAGCACCTGGTGTCCTTCTGTGTGTCTGGCTGCTCATTGTGTTTGTTTGCAGCTGAGACCTCGACATCGCAGAGGAGCAGAAAAGTGTGTGAGGGGCAACAAACTGGCTGATGAGACAGACAGAGAAACTGTCGCACACTCATACAAACACACAAATAAGATTGAAAGTAAAATTATAATGGTATGTGAATTTTTTTTGGCCTTGATTAACTTAAAATACTGTTTAATTTCAAGGTGAAAACAGATCTCACAGACATGATCCAAATTATTTACAAATATGAATGCTAGTATTTACTGCTAGGGCACACCTAATTCATGACAGGTTGCAGCCAACTGGTTTTGTAAGTTTTGTGATTTGTCAGATGTGTGGTGGCATGAGGTGCTCCAGATATGTCTGCTTCAGTTTAAGATATGTCTGCTTCAGTTTACAGCTACAGTATCTGCTTCTTAGTTAGCTGATCATTTTTGACAGGGGACTTTGTGGGGGACTTACCATATGCCCAGTATACAGATACAAAAGTGACATATTTGTGTTTACTGTAAAATTCAAAACTAGATCTACTGTGCATATGTAACCAGTGCTTAATTTGTTAATTATGACATTCTGGAATATCACTTGACGATGGACCTGGCATGAGTTTGAAAAAAACATGCATTATTTGACAGAAATGAAAGGGTTTACTAAACAGTCACAGTCATTCAGCCTATTTGTTGTGAGTACCTCTACCCATTTGCTATATAACACATTAACAAATGTGTAAATGTTTCTTGCAAAACATTACAGTATATTTCCTAAACTGAGATTAAAAGTTTAAATAAAATAAACATAAAAAGTTTTTTTTAT